AACAAAAAAACAAAAAACAAAATCAAAACAAACACACAAGCACACACACATACACACATGTGCACCTGCACACACACACACATACACACCCAAACACACACACACACACACACACATACACACACACACACACACACACACACACACACACACACACTCACATGTGCACATGCACGCATACGCTCACAATCACACAAACACACACAAAACACACACACATTGGTAATACTGTCAATAGTGTTAAACTCCCTGGTAATATTGTAAAACTCTCTGGTAATACTGTATGTAAAGCTCTCTGGTAATACTGTTAAACTCTCTTGTAATACTGTAATACTGTAAAACGCTCTGGAAATACTGTAAAACTCTCTGGTAATACTGTAATACGGTAAAACGCTCTGGTAAAACTGTAAAACTCGCTGGTAATACTGTAATATTGTAAAACGCTCTGGTAAAACTGTAAAACTCTATGGTAATGCTGTAAAGCTCTCTGGTAATACTGTCAAACTCTCTGGTTATACTGTAAAGCTCTCTGGTAATACTGTCAAACTCTCTGGTAATAAATGTTCTGTAAAACTCTCTCGTAATACTGTAAAGCTCTCTGGTTGGAATTCCTCCTCCAGAGCGCAGTATAGCCATGACCTTTTCTGTCTCATCTCAGGGGCAGGCTGTTGTGATGCCGACTTATGGCGAGGAGGGAAAGGATGCGTCCAAGAAAGAAAAAGCCATCAAATACCTCATCTCTGCTCCCACCGTGCGGGTTCCAGCCGATGTGTCGAGCACGGCAAATGCGTACCTGGCTTTTCGGGCAGTCATACTTGCTGGTGAGTCCTTTAGAATAATGTAAATCATTTGCAATAAAATATGCATAGCGCCTACGTCCGTGTGCACACAACTCTAGATCATCATCATCAATGGCTTTCACCCCTGGCAGGGTATAGGCCACATACAAGCTCCTTCCATTTATCTCTGTCCTGGGCCGTCCTTCCAAGCTCGTTCCAAGTGAGCTGCATCTCTCTAATGTCCCTTTCCATACGTCTTCTCTATGTTTCCCGTGGCCTACCCCTGCCTCGTGCTTCCTGTGGGTTCGACTGCAGCAACTGTCTTGTGATTTTTCCACTGGGCTTTCTTAGAGTGTGTCCAATCCATTGCCACATTCTTAGTCCTATTTTTACTTCTGTATCCTTTTGTCCTGTCCTTTCCCACAGCTCTTCATTTTTTATTCTATCCTGCCACTTAATTCTTAGGATACTCCTCATATATCTGTTGATGGAAGTCTGGACTTTATTCAGTACTATCTTTGTTGTCGTCCAAGTTTTGCAGCCGTCGAGGAGCACAGACTTGACATTGTAGTTAAACTAGATGCGTTACATTCATCCAAATACAAATAAAAATAACTGAGAATTGCAAATACAGTCAAATTTCGTGATTACGATATAGAGACTGATAAAACGGTACAGTTGTAAAGGAGAGTAAAGCAAGACAATAAAAATGAACAAGAATAAGTATAGTGATTAGAAGATAAAATGCTGGGGGTTCGAAATACAACCAACTTTCCCCGCGCTTCTCAGTCTACTGGTATTTAATGGAATCAAAGTCTCCCAACCCAAACAACCGTTGGCATTAGATATTTACTGACTGGCCATTACAGTTGAGTTGATAAACTCTTATAAAACTGAAGCAAAATTATATGAAATAATAAGGGATCAATGGCAAAGATCTGCAAACCTTGGCCAGGCGTTTACGTTGGAAAACCAGGAACCAGATAACCTTGTAGAAATGGGATGATTCTTTGTTTTCTATTTTCGTTCACATGGGTATGGTCAAGATACCTGGGTATAGTCAAGATACTGACTCTCTACAGACACTGAACTTGAAGCCCAGGTTCGCACTCATCTGTCTACTGACTAATGATGTACAAGTAAAGAAAAGGGTTCTTGACAGTTCTCGCTTCTCATTTCATTTTTTCAAATAACACAGCGCCAGTGCACCACGGAGAGCTTTATCATGACATTCAAAAGATGAAGCCATTTACTTTATCCTGTTTCTACAAAAGAAAGTTTCCAAAAAAATGTGACAACCGTAACAGGACTTTGTATTGATGAAACTAAAACCATGGTGTATTTCAAAGGCGTTCATGATTCAACGTTTATCTGAAGGATATACCCACAGAGGAAGGATTCAAACTTAAGTTTGCGAGAGAAAATCAGGGTACGTCTGTCCTCTAGTGATGTTCTGTGTCAAAAGACGAATCAGCAATAGCCTGTAAGTTTGATGATGCCACTCTCGAAAAAGGGTCAACAGCCCCATATCGACCTCTCACTCGCAAAATTCTGCTAAGTCAAGTTGGCCTATGTTTTATAGAAAATGTTCATCTTTCGTTATGCGAAGAAAAACTCTTCCGAGATTTTAAGTTTTCCCATTGTGAAAAGTAAATGTTAGCTTTGCAGACGCATTCCACAAGGCAGTTCGTTGTTTCTCTTTGTTTAAACAACTACAACAACAACAACAAACACTTTAGAATGTTTACGTTAGAAGGCTAAGAAAGGGGAGTGGAAACTTAGTAGGCTTTGAAAGTGTATAATCAGTCTTGCTGTTCAATGGGTGAAGGTGTTTGAATCAGGACCCACTCAACATACTACTCAAAGCTACAAACAGCACAGTGGTTAAGTGTGATAATGGCATCATAAACATGAAAGGGTATTTATTTACATTTTTGGGGGCTACAAAATTGGAACCTGAATCTGCTTATGCCATTTTGAGTGAGAGAAACGAAACGCTGAAGAGGGCAACAGGCTCGACTGTAATTGGTTCTATATATCGCACAAACAAAATAGCACGCTTTTCATTGGCCGCGAAGACGGAAATCGTTTTCCTCCTGCACTAAAAAGATTTAGACAGGTTTGCTTTCTCGGTGAATTGCCCGATTTAATCATTTTTAAAATTTAAAGTGGAACTATCTTTAGGACCAGTGCAAGTGCCCAAAGGGGGCCGAAGAAGATGACTCTTTCTCTCCAAAACTTGACTTGGCAGATATTACAATTAGATTCCATTGTTACTGGTTCCCTTCCGAATGGGGAAAACTTCTTGTACCCTGGGTAGAGTCTTTGGAGGGCCATCTCGATTACCTTTGAACCAGACAGTGCTGAAGGCGTCCCTGTCCACTCGGTGACCCTGTCAGTTCTTCAATTATTTTATTTTTTCTGCTCCCCTTTCTTCTCTTCGACACTGCTATTTCTAAAATGGTCTTTTCAAGACCAGACTTGTAATGTAACATAACCATTCCCGATTTCTTTTCTTTGCTGTAGTTTGAAGATCTTCATGTGGCTTATGTTTTGTTTAATGGTTAGGGAGAATCTTACTACTAATGGAGCTAAGGCCAAATTTTGCGAACAGTATATTCTCAAAAACTACGAAATTAAAAAATATAAAAATTTGCCAGTACCCATAACTTGAAACGTAGTGTTGCAGTATTGTATTTTCATTAAGATCAAATTAATGTGTAAGAAGAAAGCCCAGTTTAAGTTAAATTCAGTCCTGTTGTAGAGATCGCCATCATTTGCTTCGACATTGTATATTCACTGCGGAGTGCCGACTGCGCCAAAGGGTATTTTATGTTCAGTTGTACATAAAGTAGGTTTACGGGAATTCCCGGTTTCGGTCTCTCGCCTTTAGGGGGAGGAGGAAGAGGAGGAGGAGGAGGTATTGGTGTAGATGGAGGAGGAGGAGAGAAGAAGAAGAAGAAGAAGAAGAAGAAGAAGAAGAAGAAG